AAGATCAACAAGGCTCCGCATCTGATTGTCCTCTAGTACTGAAATTTCAGACTGCATGGCCTCCACCCATAAAGGATTAGCAGCTGCCTCAGCAAAATAAACAGGCTCAACTATACTGGAATAAGCAGCCAATGCTTGACCATAAGATTTGGAAAGGTTGTCATAGCTGACATAATTAGAAACAGGATACAAACAACCAGACGTAGGCTGAGAAGTGAGGAAATCGTGCAGCCAGATAGGTGGTCTGTTGGTCCAGAATGATCTTTTAAGAGGAGGAGTAGTATTATCACACGAAGTAGAGACCACAGCAGGTATATGAGCCAAATCAGGAGCAGAACTACTAGGAGAAGATGCAGCAGGAATAACTAAAGGAGGAGAACTTTCACACACTACTGAGGGATGAAGGACTGGAAAAATTGAGGACACATTAAGGTCCATACACTGCAATGGAAAAATCTCTTCTTTAAACACAACATCCCTGCTAACCAGAAACTCTTTGGTATGCAAGGAAAACAGCTTGTACCCCTTCTGGAGAGTAGCATAGCCCAGAAATACAGATGGAATAGCTCTGGAGGAAAATTTATCAACTGTTTTTACTTCAGTTGCAAAAGCCAAACAACCAAATACCCTTAAATGAGCTAGTGATGGACTGGTCTGAAACAGAACACCAAATGGACTTTTGCCCTTAAGTATATGAGATGGAAGTCTTTTAATGAGATACACACTAGTGAGCACACATTCACCCCAGAACTTAAGTGGAAGAGTGGCTTGAAACCTTAATGCCCTGGCTGTATCCAATATATGCTTGTGCTTTCTTTCAACCACACCATTTTGTTGGGGAGTATATACACAAGAACTCTGATGAAGAACCCCTAAGGACTGAAGTAATTCAGTCATTTGGGAGTTAAAAAATTCACAACCATTGTCTGTCCGCAGTATTTTTACAGTTGCAGAGAATACATTCTGGATCATAGTAAAGAAATTTCTAAGAGCCACAATGACTTCAGACTTGGAATTGATTAATAGCAGCCAGGTATATCTAGAACAATCATCAACAATGGTTAAAAAATATATCTTCCCATCATGAGTAGGTACTCTATAGGGACCCCACACATCAGCATGCAAAATGTGAAAACAAGTAGAAGTTGTAGTATTACTCAATGGAAAAGGAAGTCTTGATTGTTTAGCCAAAGGGCATACAATACAAGGAACAACAGAAGTAGGAGATGCATTGGTGAAACAACCAAGTTTTCTAAGAGTATGGAATGATACATGACCAAGCCTTCTATGCCATAGAGACAAGTTGCTACTATCTGCATTTATTAAAGACGTAGACATAGAGACAGACACTGCATTTGCAATAGAAGATGATAGTGAAGTTCTTTGTGACTTCAACTGGTGATCAACTGGAAGAACATACAGGTCATCCTCCAACTTGCCAATCCCCCTCACCTTCCCACTGGAGAGGTCCTGGAACAGGCAAAAATCAGGATAAAAGAGGACACCACAATTCAACTCCCTAGTTAGCTGAGGCACAGATAACAAGTTGTACTTGAACTCAGGAATATGTAGAACATTATGAATATCAGCTCCCCTTAGAATCTGAGAAGAACCAATATTGGTAACTTTAGCTAAACTACCAGTTGGCAGAGAAACATTTCCCACTTGACAACGAGGTAGAGAAGTAAAGTTAGTGAGCAATTTAGAATCATTGACCATATGCTTAGAAGCTCCAGAATCGATGATCCATTTAGACATTCCTGTGACTTGCATATTGGAATCACTCTTAAGCCTGCCATTCTCCTGGTCAGAAAGTTGATACTGCTGTAGGTAAAGAGGGGGAGGAAACCACTGTGTGGATGGATAGTGATGTGGCTGCACATTAGACATAAGTGCATTGGTAGGATAAGAAACACCACCACCTGAGGAGAGAGGTCTTGGATAAGACTGAGATCTACATACTGAGCTGCTAGAGTAGGAACCTTGACCTTCAAACACCGATCCATGTGAACCATCTACATGACCACTTGTACTATGAGGAGAGGATCCTGTTGCAAAATTAGCAGCCGTCACAGGGCCAGGGCTAGTTCTTCTCTTTCCTTTCGAATTAGCTGGATAGCCATGGAGTCTAAAACAATTAGCTCTTGTATGACCTTTCCAGTTACAGTAATCACAATACAAGTTGTTGTTAGAGGCTCTCTGAGATTTGGAGCCAGATCCTGAATGAGAAGAAAAACCTGAACCAGACTGAGAGTGACCTTTGCCAGAACTAAAAAATGCCATTGCATCTGATAGTTGTCCAAGATGTGTAGTTTCTGCACTAACTATATTGGACTTGCCCAGAGCTCTTTGACATTCTTCAGCCATTACCAAGGAATAAGCCTTATTCACACTTGGTCTAGGATCCATCATCATTAATTGACTTCTACAGTGATTATAGGTTTCATTTAACCCTAGAAGAAATTGCATTAATCGCTGATATTCAAAATGAACAATATAGGTTTTTGACACTTCACAAGCACAACTAGGACATGGCATAAGAGAATCAAATTCCATCCATAATTCCTTCAGCTTAGAGAAATAGTGAGCCACTGATGAGACTCCTTGAGTCAATGTGGCAATTTCCTTATGAAGAAAAAAAATCCTAGATCCATCAACTTTATCAAATCTTTCTTTGAGATCATTCCAAACTTGATGAGCACTACTCGCATACACTATTCCACTAAGTAACTCCCTGCTAACAGAGATCATAATCCAGGAGAGAACTATGGCGTTACACTTCTCCCAGAGATCATGCAGAGGAGCTGGAAATAGATTCTTAGGATATTTTCCATCAACAAATCCTAGTTTGCCTTTACCTAGTAATCCTATCTTCATTGATCTACTCCATAGTGAATAGTTTTCAGAACCAGTGAGTTGAATGGAAACTAGAGAACTACCTGGAGTATCGCATGCTTGGAGATATAGAGGATGATGAGCATCAATCACCATTGATCCTCCTTGCACTGAACTGGTAGGTATCTCTGAATTTGAATCAGGCGCCATGAAGAAACACCTAGAAATCACACCCGATCTGAACTGCTATATGGACAATGCAACAATTCTTCAGCTGCACTGAAAAACAGTGAGATCTTCAATGGAAACCCTTGAGCTCTGATACCATGAAGAATAGATTGGAAACAGAAAAGAAGGTTTCAATATACTACAATGAATCAGAAAATAAGAGTGTTCATACAAGCACACTTATAGTGTGATTCTAAAATTTGTTATTAACTAACTACACTAGTTAATCCTAACTTAACCATAGTTAATTCGTAACCACCTTCTAACTAACTTTGAATAACAGCTACTATATTCAACACATAGGATAAAAAATATTAGCAAGTATCTCATAAAAGCAATTAAATATTACAATAAAAGGATGTGGGGTTGCATGAAGTGGAGTTAGTGGACAAATGGAGCAGTTAGTTGATTTTTTTTTAAAGCGGTAAAAACTGCTCTAAAGTGAATTAATAATTATTTTTTTGTTTATTTTTCAAAATAAATAATAGATTATTATTATTATTATTATAATACTTTAAACTATTATTATTAGTATTAAAAATTAAGATTTTATATTAATTTTGCAAATTCTATTTTTTTTCTTTTTATGATGTTAACTTATTCCTTAGAATTCTCAAATGTCTATCGTGGTGATTATTTTTTTTTTGGTTGAATTTTAAAATTAATAAACTACCCTCAATTTTTAAAATTTTATTTTATTTTAAATTTTAGTAATTTATTAGTTAATTCTATTACATGTAATTAATAGTTTAAATTGAAATTGTCCTTCAAATTCTGCACTACTAACGTGGTGCATTTCTTTTTTTTTCTTTTAATTTTACATTTTAAAATTAATAATCACACTTTTAAATAAATAATTAGTAATTTATTAATTAATCCTATTACATTTAAATAAAAAAAAATTAATTAATTAAAAAGCCTGTTTTTTGTGGCTGACACGTAGGCTATCATCTCTCCTATTATATATATATATATATATATATAGGCAAAAGAGGAGTGATGTGGCATTCTTTCTTTTGATTAATGATATTAATCTTTATTTTTCTTAATTATTTTTTAAAAAATAACTTCATAACTCGTATTTCTTTATCTTCATAACTTCTACTTTTAATTAGTAATTAATAATACCCATAAAGTTGGTTTATGTAAATATCTATGTTAGTAAAGGTTCTTTATAGTCTGATTGTGCGATCCGTTTTCATGTTGGTATCAGAGCCATGGACTTATAGTATCTATAGGTGTTATAGTTCAACACAGTTTGTTAACATGAATATCATAAAGAAGAAGTCTACTGTTAAAAACAGTAGAAAAGAAGAATATGATATACCTCAACACCTAGATCTACTTAATAAGTGGACTATTCCGAAAATATCACCTAGAATCATATATCTGATGGGTACTTTTGAGAAACTTGGTCTCAAACAGGTGGTTAAACCACTGAAGAAACTATTACTATTGATAGTGATAATCAGACTTTTTAGATTATTATCTGCTAATGATTTAGCCCCTTATAGGGATATTTATCGATTTATGCATTTCGGTTTAGTACAAGTGGATTTTAAGCCCCTTTCCTTGCGTGGACTACCTGAAAGTTTTATAGCATCTTTACGTGACGGTAGAAATCATAATTGGAAGAAGTCTCTTATAGGGACGATTCAGACTAGTCTTGCGTACATACCAATTTATTTTAATGCTTATCCAAACTTGAAGATTTCATTGCAAGATGAGAACTCATTAAGTTCTCTTATGTTGAATGTTAAACTTCATGGTTATGATTATATGCCTGGCACTGAAGTTGTTTGTATTTGTTATAGAATATATTATAAACTTTTGCATACTTTAAATCCTATGTGCAAAGTTATTGATTTAAAAATGAAACTATTTTAATAGAGACTAATTTTGATAAATCTAAGGTAGTCACTAGAAGACCTATCAAGTAGGAAGAAATTGATTTTCCACAAGAGTGGATGACTGAGAACGTTACCCAACCTCGAAATAATATTAATACGGATGTTTCTGAAATTGAACAGTTGAATGATGGAAGTGTTAAAATTATATTTTCTAAACCAACTAAGATTCTTATTGATAATTGTAGCATGTCTTCTAGAATTAATAGATCGAATTCTTCTTATACATCTCATGTTGATTATATTGTGCAAATTCCTTCTCGAGCATCTACCTCTCAAATTAGAGAAACTTATAGATGCGATAATATAAAAATTGATAATGATAATATTGCTAGACCTATTCTCAGACCTAGCTCAGATTTAGATATAAATGAATCTGAAATGAATTTTCCAGATGGATTGACTACTTGATTTTTGTTTTATGATGTCTAACAAACAAATTGATTTTAGTCCGGGTTACCCGGCAAGAGCCAGGATCGCTAAAGATTTTCAGCGAGAAAAATGGGAACTATTTAGAAAATGGTTTTTCAAGAATTTTAATAAAGAAGAACAATATGAATTCCAAGAAGAATTTTATAAAGACCTTATTGATTCAAAAATTAATAAATTAGTTCATGTTGTACCATGGTTTATGTGTAAACATGTTCATAACTATATCTCTATGCTAGAAAGAGATTTTGATTTAAGTAATGGAGAAATTACTAAATCTGTTTTCCCTCCATTACAATCATTTCAAATTAATAAAAATGATAAAATTGTTAATTTAATGCTTTTTCAAAATTATCTGAAAATGATACTGCCTTAGTTACTCCACAACATGTTAATGTCATGATTAAGCAAAATAATTATGTCAATATTTCTATGAGTATTTTGGGTGATCATATCATTTCTTTACATGAAAAAGTCGACAAAATCATCTCTTTATTGCCTACCAAAAATAAGGGTAAAGAGAAGATAGCTCACCAACATGACAACATAGTTAATTCTGGCTACATTGTATAAAAACCCCTAATATCAGGGTCTGCCCGGGTCCGCCCTCCACATGGGTAATCCAACGAATTCCTTCGGCGGCTTTTCATAAATTGGACTGAGGTAAGCTATGTCTGACCTTAATCTAACTACTCAATCTGTCAACATAATAGACACAATGCCACCTTATAGTAACTTAGTATGCTACAGCTTAACACAAACAATTTAGCCCATCATCGGGCTTTAACACATAAAGAAATGTAAAAGAATAAAAAGAATAGTACCTCAAGATGAACTCCCAGAGTATCAACCAAATTACAAAGTTTTATTCAAACTTTAAAAACTTAGAAAATATTACAAAGATAAAGAGAGAGATATATATAGACAGAGGGGTTTTTAAAACCTGCCTCTTTAATAAAACTTACGCCTCCTTATATAGAGGTTTAAAAGGATTAAAGCGTAAAATTACAATGGCCCATACTCTTTACAACGGCTAATAAAAAGAAGATAAGACCGACAACTAATTGTGGCCTTCACATGGACGATATGACTTTCGGCTCCTATTCTTTATTAAAGATGATTTCTTGCTTTAGTAAAGTTTTTGTCATATTACCCCTATCATGATATTTGGTACATGACAACGGATCGCACAGTCAGACTATGAGGAACCTTTACTAACATAGCTAATCTTAGCAACAATGTATGAAAATCTCTACTATCCGGGTCCGTCCTCCACATGGGTAATCCAACGGATTCCTTCGGCGGCTTTTCATAAACTGATTTGAGTTAGCTATTTTTGACCTTAATCTAACTATTTAATCTGTCAGCATAATAGACACAACGCCACCTTATAGTAAATTAGTATGCTACAACTCAAGACAAACAATTTAGCCCATCATCGGGCTTTAACACATAAAGAAATGCAAAAGAATAAAAAGAATAGTTCCTCAAGATGAATTCCCAGAGTATCAACCAAATTACAAACTTTTATTCAAACTTTAAAAACTGAGAAAATACTCCAAAGATAGAGAGAGATATATAGATAGACAAAGGGGGTTCTAAAACCTGCCTCTTTACTAAAACTTGCGCCTCCTTATATAGAGGTTTAAAAGGATAAAAGCGTAAAATTACAATGTCCCATACTCTTTACAATGACCAATAAAAAGAAGATAAGACTGACAACTAAATGTGGCCTTTACATGGCCAATATGACTTTCGGCTCCTATTCTTTATTAAAGATGATTCCTTGCTTTATTAAAGTTTTTGTCATATTACCCCCTATCATGATATTTGTACATGACAATGGATCACACAGTCAGACTATGAGGAAACGTTACTAATATAGTTAATCCTGGCAATAGTGTATGAAAACCCCTACTATCCGGGTCCGTCCTCCACATGGGTAAACCAATGGGTAATCCAACAGATTCTTTCGGTGGATTTTCATGAACTGGCCTGAGTTAAGCTATTTCTGACCTTAATCTAACTACTTAATCTGTCAACATAATAGACACAATGCCACTTTATAGTAACTTAGTATGCTACAGCTCAACACAAATAATTTAGCCCATTATCGGGATTTAACACATAAAGAAATGCAAAAGAATAAAAATAATAGTACCTCAAAATGAACTCCAAGAGTATCAATTAAATTGCAAACTTTTATTCAAACTTTAAAAACTGAGAAAATATTACAAAGATAGATAGAGAGATATAGATAGACAGAGGGGGTTCTAAAACCTGCCTCATTACTAAAACTTACGCCTCCTTATATAGAGGTTTAAAAGGATTAAAGCATAAAATTACAATGGCCCATACTCTTTACAACGGCCAATAAAAAAAAAACCGATAACTAATTATGGCTTTCACATGGCCGATATGACTTTGGGCGCCTATTCTTTATTAAAGATGATTCCTTTATTTATTAAAGTTTTTTTCATATTACCCCTATCATGATATTTGGTACATGACAACGGATTGCATAGTCAGACTATGAAGAACCTTTACTAACATAGTTAATCCTGACAACTGTGTATGAAAATCCCTACTATCCAGGTCCGCTCGGGTCCGCCATCCACATGGGTAATCCAACGGATTCCTTCGGCG